ACATGCTATACTATGATGTTTTTTCATGATTTTGGACGACATGCTATACTATGACAATATTTCATGATTTTGGACGACATGCTATACTATGACGAATTTTCATGAACTTGGACGACCTGCTATAATAAGATGATATTTCCCGATTTTGGATGACATGCTATACTATGATTATTTTTCATGATTTTGGATGACATGCTATACTACGATGTTTTTTCATGATTTTGGACGACACGCTATACTATGACAATATTTCATGATTTTGGACAACATACTATACTATGACGAATTTTCATGATTTTGGACGACATGCTATACTATGATGTTTTTTCATGATTTTGGACGACATGCTATACTATGACAATATTTCATGAACTTGGACGACCTGCTATAATATGACGATATTTCCCACTTTTGGATGACATGCTATACTATGATGATTTTTCATGATTTTGGATGACATGCTATAATATGACGATATTTCATCATTTTGGATGACATGCTATACTATGATGAATTTTCATAATTTTGGACGACATGCTATACTATGACGAATTTTTTATGATTTTGGGACGACATGCTATACTATGACGATATTTCACGATTTTGGACAACATGCTATACTATGACAATATTTCATGAACTTGGACGACCTGCTATAATATGACGATATTTCCCGATTTCGGATGACATGCTATACTATGATTATTTTTCATGATTTTGGACGACATGCTATACTATGACGGATTTTCATGATTTTGGACGACATGCTATACTATGACTAATTTTCATGATTTTGGACGACATGCTACTATGGCGAATTTTCATGAATTTGGACGACATGCTATGCTATGACGAATTTTCATGATCTTGGACCATATGCTATACTCGGACGAATTTTCAGGATTTTAGACGACATGATATACTATGACGGATTTTTCATGTTTTTATTTGTTTCAATGCTTTTTAGCTTTTTTCACCATAGTACACTATGACTTTTCGAGGTGATTTTTTGACACTACTATACAATGACATTGATCAACATACTCCAGTGTGCTATGCTATGACTTTTCAACATGCTATACTGAGTTTTTTCAACATCCTATAAGTTATTTAAATGTTTTAAACTTTGAGTTTTTTCCATCATACTATGATATTTTTTGACATGATATACTATGCCATTCTTTTGAGGTTATTCTAGATACTATACCTTGACTTTTTTTTGACATACTATACTATGAGTTTTTTTTTACCAAATACTATACTATGGCTTTTTTCGGAATGCTGTAGTATGAAGTTGCTGAGGTTTTTTGACAAGTGTGTGCATGTGTTATAGGGAACAGGAATGTTTTTTCCTTTTTCTCATATATTACTGATTACTCTTTATAATAAACTTTGCATTGGGTTAGTCACTCAGTAAATTCTGTGGTGCTTTGTTCCCATCCCTTGTATCTGGATTACGTTGCATCGATACAGTGATTTCTTTTCTAGAAAGGAGTTATCATAAAGACTGTTTAGTTGTGCTATCCTACAATCAATTTACAGTAAATATATGTTTAAGTTTGTTACTTAGGTTAATAGGTTAGAACTCAAAGTGGCGATGCGGTCTTTAAGTATAAGAAAAGGGTCTTAAAAAAGGTCTCTGAAAAGGTATTAAATTAAACTTTCAGGGTCTGGTATATACCCTGCTGTCCATGTAGAGAGGAAAAAAGAAAGAAATGACACACATCTCTTTTTTAAAATGTTTTAATATTAAACAGTCCAGTTGAA